ACACACACACACACACACACACACACTCACACACACACACACACACTCACACACATACTCACGCTCACACACATACTCACACTCACTCACATACCCATACGTACACATACACACACATACATACACACCCACCCTTCAACCTCGCAAACACAGCGCATTCGCTTGCTTGGTAAGTCCTACTTCTTTATTATCTCTTTTTTTCTGTCTGTCCGTCTGTCTGTCTGTCTGTCTGTCTGTCTGTCTGTCTGTCTGTCTGTCTGTCTGTCTGTCTGTCTGTCTGCCTGCTTTTACACAGCACTCATTGACCATTATTGCGTGATGTGCTTCTCTGTATTGAAACCAAAACCCTAAAACATACAGGTCCCTGAGGAAACTCTGCATAAAGTGACCGCCGCCATTGGCAATGGACTGCGTCCGGACATATGGACCAAATTCAAAAACAGGTTCAAAGTCAAACAAATTTACGAATTCTACGGCTCGACCGAGGTACCTGCTAGCGTGAACAATCTGTTCAACATCCCTGGCAGTGTTGGACGACTTTCACCTTTGCTGGTAATTTGCATATTTTATTTTTATTCTCTTGTTTGTTGTTTGTTTTGCTTTATTTTAGCTAGCCTTCTACTGTACGGAGAAATCGGATGGTTGAAGGGCGTACTGATTGGTCCCACTTGCTTTCTTTCCCTCTATTGTTTCTGTCTGTCTGTCTTCCTTTTTCCAAAAGAAATTGCCTTTCTGGTCGATATATTTCTGTTGTCTCAAACAAGCAAAGAATAAATCCAGAAAACGTTATAAAGAAAAGAGAAACACTGTTAACATTTTGTCTAAATGTTGGTATGACCAGGCCGGTCATTGAATATGGAATGGTGGCTTACTCAGCAGCCAGATCGACGGTGACAAAAAAATCTCAGCAGATAGGAACAGGTCATGCTTGTTTAGACTCTGGGCAGGGCACAACAGGCTGAATGCACCTACACGTACAAGAAGCTATAGACTGGTCAGTTAGAGGTATGTTTGTGAAACTTGGCACCGTAACAACAAAACATCTTGAAGAACCACTACCCCTTGAGACAAGCTCTGAAGCAGGAGTCTCAAACTGGCGGCCGTGGGACCAATTGAGGCCCAGAGAATGAGATTTTGCGGCCTCAATTTGACATCAAAGTTTAGTCTTAGTGCCACCCTCCATCAAGCCAAATGTGGCTGAGCTATTTAAGACTAGCAAGAGAAAGCGCTGCCACGTCTCTGCCAGCATGAAGTAGGTATTAGAAAAGTATGTTCTGAAGAGCTCTGAACTGCTATTAGTAAAAGTTGAGAAGGTCAGTTGTACTTTAATGTAAGATATAGAATACTTGAACACGTTTTCTTTTTGGGATATTTATTGATTCGACTCTAACCCAAGCAGCCCCAAGTAATTTGAGTTTGAGTACCCTGCTCTATGGCAACTTGTAAGCATTCTGGAAGACACCATGCGCCTGGGAAGATATTCTTGGCGTTGCCATCAAAGGGTTGTAAAATTTTACACTGGTCTCCTTTTTTCCAGATGATCAGAAACAAAAAATGCAGGTTATTACATAGTGCCTATGTTAGGATCTAGACCTAAATATTTACTAGACTTCTATTCTTTCCATGTGTCTGTCTTGATTTACCTCTGAACTAAATGACCACTATTAGTGCGTGTATGTGCTTCTTTTTTTCAAAACTCAAATTAGGTACGAGGAAAGATCATTAATAATTTATATATTTTCTCACAATGACACGCATTCGCACAATGCATTATAATCCAACATTAAACTTTAGCACGAAAGTTCTGTGGTCACAAATGCCGCATTGATCAGAAAGCTTCCTCTTGTTTATTTGTTTTCCTACTTATGTCTTGAACTAGAGCGCGGCCATGAACCTAAGACTGGTCCGAATGAACACTGAAACGAATCAACCTCTTCGAAACTCGGAAGGAAGGTGTGAGCTCATCGGCCCTGGTATGGTACTTTATATTGTTGCGTTTGCCCTGTTGCTCTTTTGTTATTCGATGATGATGATGATGATGATGATGATGATGATGATGATGATGATGATGATGATGATGATGATGATGATGATGATGTTGTTGTTGTTGTTGTTGCAGTTGTTGTTGCTGTTATTGTTGTTGTTGTTGTTGCTTTGAATGTTGTTGTTGTATGGTGATGATGATGCTGATGGTGATGCTGATGATGCTGATGATGATGCTGATGATGATGCTGATGATGATGCTGATGATGATGATGATGATGATATCTGCCCCGCACTCTATGAATCTTGCACTGTGATGTTATAATCTATTCAGGCTTAAAGCTGGCTTTATAGACACACGAGTGTTTTATAACGAAGGTGACATTGCGTTTTCGAAAAGGGGTGGTTGTTATCATGCTGGATTTCGATGCGGACGATCCTGACACTCATCCTCAAAGAGGTTTTCTTGAACTTCGGATATTTTGGCTCGTTTCTGTAGCTCCTCCCTTATAAATTGTCTAAATCCTATCGGGGCAGGTCATTAGATTCTGACATGCGACCTTTCTACATTGTAATAAATCAGTGTTTATAGCACAGGGGCTTTAAGGGGAGGGTGCAACTGAGCTTGCTATCTCTTTGAATTCTCCTCATACACATGCTGTTATGTCACTGCATTCGGTATGTGTTCATGGGAAATGGAGAGAGATTTGAATGGGATAAAATCATGTATAATTCACTGGAAACTGAGAAGAATATTATGTTATCAATATCATGCAAAAACGCCGCCTTAAATCTACCAACCCCACTGTTGTTACTTGAACATAAAATAATGTTGAACACTAACCTTTTGGTTGCCTGCGTTTACAACAAGGGTAAGTCAAACCTGCTTCTCTCTCTGGATCGTGATCCTTTCCTCAGCGATGGGGCCCCGATGCGTTGGAATCTCACACACAATACAGAAATAGACCGAGGCTCTAACTAGCCATTCCCCCTTTTCTCCACCCGAAATCTCAGCAGGCCTCTTCTGCCTTGATACAGCTCTCCCCTTCAAAGTCTGACCTGTAGTAATCCAGACTGCATTTATACACTTGCACCAAGCAATACAACTGAACTGAGACTTTAACTTTTACTCACTCACTCTCTCTGCCTTACACACTTTCAGCCAAACAATACAATAGGCTAGGCCTAACCCCCTGCCACAGACCAACACGCCAGATTGCAAATTAAACACCAAATAGACCACACCCACTCACAAGAGTATTAATTATTATTATGAATAATGATTTATTAATTGTATTAATTATACAATGTACTGTATTCCAGGCGAGAGTGGGCTCCTGTTAGCTCAGCTATCAGACAAGGTTTCTTTTGACGGCTACTTAGGCCCTGTTTCCCAAACCACCAGTCGAATTCTCCAGAACGTTCTGAAAGACGGTGATTTCTATGTCAACACCAATGACATATTCACCCTGGACCAAGACTACAACATGTTTTTCAAGGACAGGATTGGTGACTCTTTCAGGTTTCAGCTGTTCACTTGCTTTTTGAACAATTGTTTTGTTTTGTTGTTGTCGGGTGGGTTTTTTTCAGAAAAGATTGGCACCCTTTCAAAGCAAACAAGCCGACTCAATAAATCGTCCTTATAAAAAGACAGGATGGCGTTTGAAAAATCTCCCGGATACGCTTAAGTTTGTGCAAGTTTTCGCAAAAATTTGAACCCTGTTCATCGAAAATAACTATTTTATCAATCGTGCTAATCACGACCGCTTTTAGGAGGGAGAAATTCTGGCCATATAGTATTAATAATGATATATCCCTTTAAGAGGGAGTTTTTATTAAAAAGATCTACAACTTCTTGATTTCAATGTCACCTATATTTTCATATGAAATGCGTAGTCAGGATTCAGTATTTTGAGAAAGTCAAAAGTAACCATGATCAGGTTTTACAGGCGTAGGCCGTCTGAATGTAAGGGGGGTTTTTTT